TAGTCAGTACTGACGCCAAATCTGGAGCTTATCTAACAAAATAACTTACAATAATGATCCAAAAGTTAGTACACCTAAAATTAAATCTTATAGAAAAATATTAAACACAAATTTTAAAAAAGAGGAAAAATCAAGAGAAGAGAAAAAATGTAAAAAAATTTACTTGAAATTTTGCAGGTTGTAATATTTTTTATGATATAATTGTATTATCTTTCAATTTCCAAATATGTTTAGTGACTAAAATATTATTTTAATAAATATATCTGTTTAATAAATCTGTTGTTAAAATGCACCAAAATACATTGCCTATATTCACAGAGAAATGGATAAAAATATTCAATTTTTAAAATGGGGTGTACTGAATTATGCCGAGCACTGTAGCTAATCATTTTACAGTGTAATCAAAACACTCGTTTTAAAGTAAGTGCAATCAGTGAAGCAATGAACATCTGAGCTCAAAAGCCCCTTTCACACATACAGACCTTTCCGGAAAATTGCCGGCAATTTTCCGGAAAGGTCTGTATGTGTGAAAGGGGCTATTTACTGACTTCTTGCCAACCGACATCACAAGGATGTGCCAAAATATCACAAGAGTTAGAAAGATCGCTGTCAGTTTTCAGTGTCATTTGATTTAATCAAACCATGATTGTATCACTAACAGGAAAAACAAGATCTCTCTATTTTGCCTTTTCATTACACTTAAACTCTAACATTCCCCCCAAAAATAAATAAACACCTTTTTTATCATAAGCTAAGCTGCATTAAATATGAACAAGAATTTTATATACTGACAATGAACATGTATGAATGTTATTAAGAGATGCATAACTATGCTGTACAGTGAAATAATTTAAACTCTAAACACTGTTTTTGCTCTATTTATTTAATAATTTTCCCCATCTTTCAAAACAAAAAGCTTAACAACCTACCTGAGAATATGAGGAAAATTACGAACACATCTGATATCCCTCAAAAACAAAAAGCAAGTGCAAATAAAATGCAACATTTTGCCTTTTTTGTAACTACACACTAATAAAGTTCCCTTTTGGTGTATGCGCTCACACAATGACTCCAACCAACTAAGTGATTCACCCTGGTTACAAAGTAAATTTGGCTACCTCTGAGTAAATGTGGTATCTGTGCAACATTAGCAGGTGAATATAATGTGTAGTTATACTTGGAGATGGGCAGTATTTCTGATACAAGTATTTCAAATACGTATTTTGGATACAAAATAGTATTTTATAGTATTTTATATTATGGGGGTAATCAAACGGGTTTATGTTTGGTATCAAAATACTTTAGTGTTTTGTATTTTGCAGTTTTAAAATACTGTTAAATACTTTATAAGAAGTACATGATGACATTATTAAAATGCGGCCTCTGATTGGTGCTTTAGCAGTTATTGCCTAGACTTGAGATCAGAACAGAAAATTAATTAAGAAGGTGATCAATGATTGGAGCATGGATGGAAATTAAGCAACACACATAAAGAAAATAACAGCCATGGGTATATTTGGGAGCAAGTCCACAATCATTGGAAAAGTATACTGCACAATGCTAAGACCAGTCATCTTTAATGGCAGTATAGTGAACAATGCAAAAGCCTCATTGCTTAAGAAATTAGATGGATTAAAATATCAGTGTGGAGCCTTCAGCACATAATCATTCTCAGTCTCAGTGCTGCAGGTGGAAATGCAGAGGAACTTTAGAAACATAAAACACCTAAAGAACTGGTGTTCACTAAGAGGGTAAACTGAGACTCTTCCTGTTAAAGAAGAACTGAAATCATCTTGGAATAATGAGTATACTGCACATATAATAGTAGCTTTAGATGGATGTGCTGATGTAGAAGCCAAGAAAATAAGACAAACAACATTAAAATAAGTCCTACAGTGGCGATTCTTACAATACTTTATAGACTGTTTCAGATGACAGTAACTGATCTGCAGTGTACAGTTAATGAAGAGATGTCAAAGTGCAACAATACAGTATATTAGACACAAATATTTAGTAATACTCCAGTCTATACACTCTCAGGAAAAAAGGTGCACAGTGCTACAAATAATGTTCCTTAGGGAACAGTTTTGTACCTTTGTAAAAAATGATACCTTATACAGGGCAGAAAAGACCCCTTATGATATTATTCTGTACCTTTTATGGTACAATTGAAATGACAATACCTTTATTACAATATCTATGAAAATAAATATGACTGAAAAGGCTAAATGATTTATGAATAATTTCCATATTAACACATGATTTAATTCATTTAATCATCATTTAAAAGCATGTTTAAAGAAACTCATAAGGATTAATAATTAAGTTATATAATATAAAACAACTGGTAAAAAACTGTAGATATTGTAAACTAAACATTTAAGGCATTTTAATAAACATTTGGTGAGCATTTTCTGATAAATACAGTTTCATTATTGATATCCGCACCTATTGGTGTTTGCTTTCCACTACGCACGTGAGCTGGCAACAGTCCTGCATATGCAAAGTTTTCATGCAGATATGAAAAAATGCATATCTAGTTACAATACTTTTGCATAATTATATTTCTATTTTAAAGTTAAGTAAATTAAAAGGAGTTTTAAGTGATTACAAAGGTATTGTGTGAAAATTACAGAAAAAAAGTTTTATATTATACATGGGAGAATGTGTTTCTGTAGCATTTTTGTTAAAAAAAAAAAGTGTTGTGAGATGTTTAGCAAAAAATAGATTCATGTTAAAGTGTTTTTTATTCTTTATTTTAAATGGAAAAGATGCATTTACACATTTAAAAAACATTGTTTAAAAATGTATTTGATGTTTTATATTTACTGAATATAAATTGACCCATTTTGTATAAGGCAAGGCAACGCGGTGGCGCAGTAGGTAGTGCTGTCGCCTCACAGCAAGAAGGTCACTGGTTCGAGCCTCGACTGGGTCAGTTGGCATTTCTGTGTGGAGTTTGCATGTTCTCCCCGCATTCCCGTTTTCCCCCACAAGTCCAAAGACATGTGGTACAGGTGAATTGGGTAAGCTAAAATTGTCCGTAGTGTATGGGTGTGTATGGGTGTGTATGGGTGTTCCCAGTGATGGGTTGCAGCTGGAAGGGCATCCACTGCGTAAAACATATGCTGGATAAGTTGGCGGTTCATGGCGCTGTGGCGATCCCAGATTAATAAAGCCGAAAAGAAAATGAATGAATGAATGAATGAATGAATGAATGAATGAATGAATGAATGAATGAATGAATGAAGCAAAATGCCTTTTAATAGTTCTTGAAGGAACACATTTGACACTGTTAAAAATGTCTTGTCACTGTAGTGGTACCTTCATGGATCAGATTTATATCTTTGAGGAAGGTACAATATTGTATCTGCAGGTTTTAAAAAAACAAAGGTACATTTTGGTTTCCCATGGTACAAATCATGTCCTTAAAGGTACAAACTGCAATGGTACAAATTTGTTTCGTCTGTCCCATAAAAAGGTACTGCCACAGTGACAAGTGTTTGTACCTTCTTTGGTACAACATTGTACCAATTTTTCTGAGAGTGTACAGACTGGCCAAACACTCCAGACTCCCATTACACAGCAGATGCAGGATGTATATGAAGAGTTTATTTGCAATAAGAGATATCATGTTTTATGTTGTGCATTGAAGAGTACAATTGCAAAAAAACATGATTTATGGAAATGACTTAAACTGGACGTTTCAGTAGTTTTCAGACATCATGTTTTTACATTAAGTATTGAAGATAACAATTAAAAAAATCTAAAAGTATTGAGCAAAAAAAAAAACTATTTATATATCACTCTTTAAACATAAGACTGTAAAGAGATCGTTGCAGTTTTACTGGCCACCCAATGGAAACAGAATGAAGATAAATGGTATTATATTCCAACTCATTCTCTGAATTACATGATTTTTACAGTGATTAAACAGATCATTTTCAAAACCAGATTTTCTGCATGGAATTTGTACAAAATGTATGCTAAAATGAAAGAGAAAGTTAGTTTAACGGTAAAGGGATTAATCTAATATGCCTATTGATATGATATGATGCGAAGAAATGTCCTTTGTGAAAGTATTATGAAGTATTTTCAAAATACAGTATTTTATTTTGATACATTTGTGGCTGCTGTATTTTGTATTTTATTTTGACACACATAAAGCTGAGGTATTTAGTATTTTATTTTATTAACCCTGGTTATACTACTGATGTTGCTATTTGAAAGAATATGAGGTTGGTGTAACCTTTTTATACATGATATATATTAATCATGATAAGGATTAATCTTGTAAATACATGAAAATAGTTGTTATTAAGAATACAGTACATGGAGTGGGAAACGTTTGTCGAAGCAGAAAGGCTAAACTTTGCATACAAAAAAATACTCTGTGTGTGTGTGTGTGTGTGTGTGTGTGTGTGTGTGTGTAAGAAAGAAAGAAAGAAAGAAAGAAAGAAAGAAAGAAAGAAAGAAAGAAAGAAAGAACCCTGCTAATGCATTCTGAAGATACAAACCATTAAAAAATAAAATTAAAAATTTTGTTTGACCACATAGTAGTGACAGTTTAAATGTTTTAGCAACTAATAACTTTGTTTACAATAATTAACCGGTTGACCTTGAGTCAAATGTGACGATACGTAAAAAGTTACAAATTACTACTATACATGTTTGGTCGTTAGAAAACTAAATTATAGATGTCTATATAACTGTACTTGTGTAAACTTAGCAATTATGTGACTTTTAAAGTCTTTGTGTCATTCTGTCCGGACCACTGTTAAAGCGCAGGTTGGTGTTGTCACATGACAATAATTGCTTTTCTCACCGATGATAAGAATGAACCAATCACAATCCTTCGGAGTAGGTACTTGAGTTCTGTTTACAGTCATTACCAACGCGGGTTTTCGACAGCAAAATCAGGTACAAGCTACAGTATCAAACGATTATATCATGTCGCATTAGAATACTTCAAGCAAATTAGTTACACAAATTAAACAGACCTCGACGTAGAACTCATTCTGGTCCCCCAGTTTTGTTTCCACAAAAGGTGGAAGAGTCTCTGCCTCATAGCGCCATTTAACGTTACTAATAACATGTAGACTAGCAAATCCACACGATTATACTAGCTTGACAACAAACACAAATTTTCATCTCTCATGGAATTTACACACGTGGTTGACTCAATTGCGTCATTTGCACATGCAGGCTGTAGCTACAAGCACAAGAGGGCAGTAGCTGGAGCGTCGAATGACAAGAGAAGCAGTCTGCAAAACCGCGCATGTAACACATCCATGGACAGACTTTTAAACGTTTAATCGTAAAACAAAAATTAATAATAATTAAACGTCAAAAATAATGCGAAGGAAATATCACTAATATCATTGCGACTGTATTTTCTGCTCTCTATATTAGGACCAAGCCTTTCTTAAGTATCATCATCAAAATAACCGAATCTATTATACCAAACTGCCCCGTGTGCTTGTTGAATATGTTTGCCGTAAACACCCAACTAACATGTGTTGCCTTCTGTTCTCCATCAGCATCACTGTTGAGGTCATCACATACGACATACGATGTGCCCGGCATGAACGCTGTGAAAAAATGCACCAGCATCCCGAATCTTGCATTCAGTCATCCGAAATAAACAAAAGTACATGTTTCGTTCATTGTGAAACGCGTTAGTGACATCTAAAAATGATATAATTCTATTTGTAAAGCCGGCGTCGGATTATAGGGCCGCTTCATGTCGGAAGTAGCGTAATTCAAGACCCATTCATTGAGCCCTTAAAACACTGTCGCTACTTAAGAGCCTCTTACCTGCATATCTGGATGGACGGTGTCTCCTGTGCATTAGAAACAGACATCATGAGTTCGCGTGGAGGCTCGTGTTTAACAGCGATTCCGTGTGTCGTAATGAAATGGACTGAGTCAGGCGGAGCGAGATCTGCAGGTTTGAAGGGTAAATCGATTGGTCAGACTACTTCCACTAACGTTAGTGTGGTAAAAGGCGCGGTGAAAAGCGAACTGCTTGTTAATAATTTGAGTGGTAAACAATAATAGTTTATATATACATAGGAAGTGTTTATAGATAGAGATAGATAGATATACTTAACGTTAACAGAAGTAGGTTACACTTATAAACAGTTATTTGTTGTTGTCTGTACAAACATGCTATTCACTTTAGCATAAAATGCTAATTTATTTAATCGTTAGATTTAAAAAAAGATGTAAAATTTTGTATATCTTTTACACACATTTCTTGTTTGAAACATATTGTCACCGAAAGGTGGCAGCATAGACCAGGTTTTAGGGTTAAGCATCACCTTATGATTGGACCCAAGCTGAAGCAGCTGCCGTTGATTAATATTTGCATTTATTAGTTTCCCGCTTTCTTTTTAATAGAACGCCATGGTGCGTCTGTTTGTTCAATGCATTCTGACAATGTGATTATATATAGGCATCTGTTGCCTGTTAAATAGATAGTTCACCCAAATATTTAAATGTACTTATTTTTACTCACCCTCACAAGAGTTTATCTGTTGGACACAAGATATTTTGAAAAAAAAAAGCCGAACACCATTGACATTCACAGTAGGAAAAACAAATAAGGCAGTGGTTACTGGTTATTTTTCATCTAATTATATGTGTATATGTTTTAAAAAAGAAAGAATCTCAAGAGGAGGAACATGTGAGGGAGGGGTGAGTAAATTTTGGCAGAATTTGACATTTTGGACTGTCTCTTTTATATTTATTTTTGCGCTCCAAAATCTTGTCATTGTTGTTTTTGGAGTGTCATCTCTCTGCTTCATATACAGTTGAAGTCGGAATTATCACGCCCCCTTTGATTTTTTTTTTTTTTACTTTCTTTTTTTAATATTTCCCAAATAATGTTTAACAGCACAAGGACATTTTCACAGTATGTCTGATAATATTTTTTCTTCTGGAGAAAGTCTGATTTGTTTTATTTTGGCTAGAATAAAAGCAGTTTAAAAATTTTTAAAAGCCCTTTTAAGGTCAAAATTATTGGCCCCTTTAAGCTATATATATTTTTTTTATTGTCTACAGAAATGTTTTGGAAAAAAATCTTCTTTCTGTTAAACAGAAATTAAGGAGAAAAATAAACGGGGGCTAATAATTCTGACATCATCTGTATGTGTCCTAGCGCTGTTAGAGCTGCTAAACCCTTGTTTTATTTGACTTGTTCAGAAACAATGATGCAATGAAACCAGTTTTGTAGCCCACACATTTTATTATAAAATATAACATAATACATAAAAACACATTAATGTGTAAACATAATATACATAGCTCATCCCAAAAATAGAGATACTTTAAGTGAAAAACACAGAGTGTTTACCATTAAATAATCTGCAGCAACACGAAAGTGTGAAGTGCAAATATCTTACATTTGACAACCCTTGGGGTTTTACTAAGGCGTTTTCAAGAGCCACCGACGATTTAGCCCACGGAGGGTAATAAATCTAACCACGTTATTTACCGGTTACGCGCGGGATCTTTACGAAAACAAAAACAATTTGAACGAGTCTGTTCCATTACTTAAACTGTACTGGAAAAAAACCAAGTATACAATACTTATACGCAATTTGATGATTCGTGTTCACCAAATAAATGTATCAAGAGGCTACATAAAATGCAAATATGTACAACTTTAAAACGGCTTTCATCGCAACAACAGTCTTTTTGTATGGTGAGTCTACCAAGGTCTCCAGACTTCGGTGATCAATGGCACAGGCTCAGGTCGACTGAGAATATCTTGTTTTGGATTTGTGGATCTTGAGCTGCTCGATTTCAGATTCTGAAGTTTTTGTTGGATTTGCGACATCATTCTGGAGCTCTGCGCACAGCAGTTCTGGCAGGCTGGTGTTTTGGGCATCACCGAGCGCTGGATGAAGTCGTTTACGCGGTGGCGAGTCTCTGCGTCAAGGCTGGTTTGCGGGAGGCGCGCAGAAACGCGCTGTAGGCAGGTTGTGTATCCCTCCGTGAAACTAACTGCGGTATCTATAAACAAATAAAACAGACAAATTAGTTTTTGAAACTATCATATAATTAATTACAATAATAGTTGTGTAGATAAAAAAAAGAAAATAGCTACATCTTAAAAAAACCCACCTTTAGACGGAGTGGTCTGGATATCAGTCAGGAATCTGACGGTCATCTCCAAAATATCGGCTTTCTCCAGTTTAGAATAACGGCAGTTCTGTAAAAGAAAACAGGCAATGGTAAGAACAAGCGTAAAACACAGCAGGACTTAACGATGAAGGCGAGCATAGGACAAAACAAACTTACGTCTTTGCCTGTGAGAGGGAGAATGAGCGCTTTTAATCGGTCGAGGCTGTCGTTGATGCGCGCTCGTCTTTTCTTTTCCAGTAAGGGTTTCAAGGTTTTTCTCAGTTCACTTGCTTCTTTCCTCATGGCCACGGTGCGGGGCGCACATGGCAGAGCAGATACAGCGGTGGCGCTGGGAGTCATGTTGAGCTTGCTGTGAGTAGATCGTGTGTGCCGAACTGAGGATCCGCGCGCGCTTATATCCCTGTCCTGCGCGTCATGGAAACGCCCCCCACGCTTCAGACAACTCCTCTGCTCAAATAACTTTAGACTATAGAACAAAAGGACGCGTCTGTAGCGTCTATAAATTATATTCCTCTCGTAATCTCCTTTTTGAAATCAATATTTATAAACCAACGTTTCTTGCTTATATGTATAGGATATTTTATCTTTGGATAGCCATTTGTAAACTTTTGTTGAAATATGCATTATTTTTGACTGCTTGAATTTGCAATTCGTTTATTTATATGCATGTGTTAGTATATTTATATGTTTATATATATATTTACTTATATATTACATAAAGTATGCTATGCATTACTCTTTTTATACTGCTTTCTCCAAATGTCCTTTTCATGGTTAAACACATATTTAAAGCCTGAATATTGTGTTGACAGTTTAAATCTTAAATATTTAACGTTATATACTAATGGTAATACGATTTCTATTGTTCCTTCATATAAACGCTTGCAAAAAAACATGTTAATGAGAAGAAAAGGGATGCTGGTGACGCGTAAGGACACCGGATTGGGATCCAATTTAGGGCGGGATACGCATTCGTAACTTAAATAAAGCAGACAGATTCCCAAGCCACGCCGTTTTAACTTAACATCTGTCTCTAAATTTTGATGAACAATAGCTTTTTTCTACTCTCTTTTGATGACGTAGTGTTTACACCTGTACCTCTGGCGTTCATTGGGAGGGGTTAAGCGCACGCGTCCCCCAGCAGACCATATTGCCATGCAAACCCATATGTGATCTCTCACACTCAGCAAACAATATTTGAAAGTATATTGTTTGAATACTCATATAATACAGGTGGATGTGTTTGTTTTGCATCATGGAACGTGCGCTATGCAAAAACGCACATAGCCAACGTTTGCGCACGCACGTCTGTATTGTGTTATTTGATGTTACTTTGTCTAATAAATTTTAGGATTTTTTTTCTGCATGGATAAAACGTTTGACCAATGAGGAGTCGTCAGATATTTTCAGCTAGGAGTCTTTGGAACCCCATGGGATCCACGCGTCCAGCACGCGTCATGGAGAGAGGTCTCCAGATGGCCTTCTCTCAACCAACCCCCAATTTTAATGATGCTATAACTTGTGCCCCTCATCTTTCCATAAGTTCGTAGTCTCTAGTTGTTTTCTAAAAGCATTTTGGCGTCGTTGACCCATCTGTATGGTTTTGAATTACAAGTGATCAAACAAAAGGGAAGCGTCGTTCGGTTGTTTTGCGCGCAGACATGTCACTGTCGTTTCCATGTTTTACTGAACAGCCCATTTGGTGAATATAAAAATCACCATTAATCTTATGCGACTTGTAGCATAATTTATACCACATTTTATAATATGCAAATAAATGAAGAACGTGTTTAAAATATGACTTAAAGAGGAAGCAAATCAGGAACGCACAATCCCAGGGAGGATTGAAGCGTTTTTCCTTTTTAAGATAAAACATGTGAACATTTTTTAGTCACACAAACATTTAACTTAAGTGTTATTTTTTGTTTGCTTCACCAATACAGTTGCTAATAAAATGAACACAAGGGTGCGTCAGAGTTGCGATCCGCAATCAGTACGTGCCCTGCACGCGCCCTGTTCCCCCATGGGTCCTTTATTTGAGGAGCGTGTCAGCCAGTTTTTCACTTAAGATGCGTTCAGTTACAGCGCTTTTTGTATTTTAGCGTGGGTGCCCCATCTGTGCCATCATCATCGCGTAGACTCACACAGAGATCTTTTGTCTATCAACTCATTCCAGTACGTGGGAACAAGGTTTTGAGGAGTTACGGAGCAAAGTAAGATGAGCTGCGCACAAGCCACACAAAACCCTGCTCGAAATCCCCATTGAAAACGAGTGGGGGAGGTTACCGATGGCGGTTAACGATTTAAGCATGTTAGCACATTATTCTTAGTTATTTTTTGTTCGTTGCTGTGAGATCGTTAGCCTACTTCAGAATTTGATTGTGGTCTGTGGTTGTGCTTTGGTCTAAACACATTACTAACAGAAACGTGCAGTAAACGGCTTTCAATTAGAACAAAAATGCTCAAGAAAACAATGCACTTCGCGGAATATAGTTTAAGGGTTTATGGGTTTTGCCATGATGCCTTAGAAAACCCATTTTGATAATCAGAAAAACCTTTTTGTACACAGAAAAAATACATACATGAATATTCTTAGTGTGAAGAACCATCTAAAAACACAAAGAACCGTTTTACAATGAATGTTTTGTGGAATGGAAAGGTTATTTAGATGTTAAATAGTCTTAAATGAACCACCAATGCCAATAAAGTGTGTTTGCCCCTTATCCTCATTCACTATGTACTTTGTTTAGGCTATTAGTTTAAATAGATAGTTCACCCAAAACTGAAAATTCTGTCATCAAGCACTCATCCTATACTTGATTCAAACCTTTAAGAGTCTCTTTCTTCAGTTAAGCACAAAAGAAGACATTTTGAAAAATGCTGAAAACCTGTAACCATTGACTTTCATAGTATCAGTTTTTTCTAAAAATGAAAGTCAATGGTTACCGGTTTTCAGATTTCTTTAAATTGTCCTCTTTTGCTTTCAACAGAAGAAAGAAACTCAGGTTTGGAACCTCTTGAGGGAGAACAAATAGTGAACATATTTAAATTTTTAGTTGAACTAACCCTTTCAGTTTATGTAGTCCACTTGACAGAGTTTCGAAATGGAATAAAAATGGAAAAGCGATCAACAATAACAGAAAAAATAAACAGAAAAAAGCATAATCAAAACAAAAGATGACTTGCAGTCACAGATTAAATCAACTGCAAATAAAATAATATTAAATCTTTAAAGATCTCAGCATGCATCTTTACATTTATTCATTTAGAAGCTCCTTTTAACTAAATCAACTTATAAACAAGAAAAACAAGCAATGATTAAGGCAAATAATCACTAAACATGAATAAAAACACAAAGTTGTCACTATTGTTTAAAAATGTCAGAATAGTAATGAATAAGGAGTAAGGAAAAATTGAACTTCTGCCACTTTTTAACAACTTAACACATATCCACTTCCCCAGTCTCAAAATCACAAAACAAACACCCCTAACTCATCTAGTAAAAAAATACAAGTTTTATAAACACTGTCTGCTGAATATCTGCTGATGCTTTATTCTAATGAACAACAGAAGTCATTCTGACCATTACAATCTTTGCAGATACATGTTGGCTTATTCTGCTAACCCTAAACTAACAGCCTACACACTCAGAAATAAAGGTACAAAATTTGTCACTGGGGTCGTACCTTTTCAAAAATACCTTTAGGGTTCACTTTTGTTTTACCTTTTAAGGTTAACTTCTGTACCCTTGATGTCAGGTACACATTTGTACTTTATGTATTATTATGCACCTTTAAGGACTTGTTAGAGACAAAAAAAAAGTACCTTTTGAAAATGTACCACCACAGTGACCGATTTTGGACTTATATGTCTGAGTACTTAAAATTTACTGCTTATGATCTACTAAATCTTCACTTTTTTCACATTTTTAATGTTACAGCTTTATTCCTTAATGGATGTAATTCCTTACTTATCCTCAAAATCTACAAACAGTACCCCAAAACGACAAAATTAAATACGTTTGTTTGAAATCTTTGCAAATTCAAATAAAAAAAAGTTTTAAAAATCAATCTTTGCCAACAAATTACACCCTGAAGTATTTTTAAGTAATTTTTGAGTAACCCCTCAAACTCCATTAGGTTGTATGATCTCTAGAGATGTTCAGGTCTCCATAGATGTTTAATCAGGTTTAGGTCTGGGATCTGTTTGAGCCACACAAGAACATGCACAAAGTTGTCCCATGCATAACCTTTTTTTTAATCATCTTGGCTCTGTGCTTATGGGTCATTCTCCTATTGGATCATGAACTAGTCAGATGTTCAGAACACTGCTGTTCAGAACACTGCTTTAGGTTTTCATTAAGGATGTCTCTGTGCTTTAATCTTTTCCTCCATGTTTCCCAGTTCCTGCTGCTGAAAAACATTCTGGTTTTCTCCAGACAAAGAGTTCAATCTTTTATTTCATCAGATCACAGAATTTTGTTTCTCATGGTCTGAGAGTTCTTCAGATGCCTTTTGGCAAACTGTTTGGCTGCCATGTGCCTTTTACCGAGGATATTTCCATGCCGTCTATGATTGGTGGATTGTTGCAAAGATTGTTCCTCTTGAAGGTTATCCTGTCTTCAAAGAGAAACACTGGAGCACTTACAGAGTGACCATCTGGTTCTTGACTGGCTAAAACCCAATCTGAATGCGACTAGTTTTCCAAACGTTATTTTTCAAAGCTGACGTCAGTCACTTCATGGATTCAGACACGACTAACATTTCTGTGTTTATTGTGAAGATTGGGGTGTCCGTGGTTTACATGTGGGCATTGGACAAGATCATGTTCAGGATGCATTATATACAAGTACATAACAAGAATATAATTAAAAAAAAAACTGCCACTGAATTCATGTTTAATAAATGTTCAAGTAATTTTGAAATAAAGATATAGTAGATTTACATTTAAACTGGCTTATTGTTTATTGTTTTATAAACCCACTGGAATAAATAAGTTTTAATTTATATAATTTCCAAGGTAATTGACCAAAAAAATTAAAATACTCTTACCTGAATTAATGTTAAAGCTGCCAGTCTTATTAATTTGCGTCATTTGGCTTTTTGATTTTATTTTTTAATTTCTTTTCAGGGAAGCAAACACATCTACATCCATTATTGGTGCATAGAAAGCAGAAACCTGAATAATGGCCTGTTAAAGATTGTATGGAAGTTCACGTTAAACAAAACAAAATGCATTTTGGACAAACATTTTCAACAATCACAGACATTCGCAAAACAATTTGCTCTGGGATTTTAACAGAGGTCATATGAGAACAAAAAAATAAGAAGAAGATTTATACAAGATTCGAATACTAAGGTCCCCAAAA